TTTTTTTTTTTTTTTTTCTTCTTTAAATCGAATTTTGTTTTTGATTTTTTAAAAATCCTAAACAAAGTCGGATTCCAAAAAACAAAATATGGGGTTTCAGGGCTTAAAATTCCCTACAACCCCCCCCCTTTTTTTTTTTTTTAACCTATTATTTAATTCAGGAAAATTCTGGTAAAATCGGGTCCGCGGCGCGGACCATGTCGGCCGCGGACACGGCCCCATCTGCGTCCGCCATCCAAGATCGGACCCGCGGACGCGTCCGCGGGTGTTTCATAGCTGATAGCCTTAGGGTGGCCTGATAGCCTTCAGGGATCCCCCACTGGGGGGCACCGGCCAGGGGACAGCCGGTAGCAGAAGGACAGAGCATCATCTGAGTGGCCAGGGGGCGTCCACCTGCTGTTGCGTTTTTTTGAACTATTTGTGTAATCGAGTACATTTGTCACATCTCTGTTTCTTTGCATGTGACTGTTTGTCGTCATCTCTTCTATATGATTCTATATACCCCTCCCCCAATGACCGTGCCCTTTTTTTTTTTTTTCAGAAAAAAATTATGAACAAATTGAAGTACCGGGGCCATTACCCGGTTTCTAACCCTGACCGTGCCCTAGTTTTCTCTTCTTTTTTATGTTGTAACAGCCCCGGAGGCAGTTTGAGGTGCTGGTAGGAGCAGACACATCAAGCTGGTCCTGGGGAGGCTCCATCCATTGGTGGGGAGCGGCACCTGCTGGGAAGCAGGCCCAGCATCCCCTTCACAGAAATTGCAGCTACCGAACAAAGATACAAAGATACATTGGCCCCACATGAGGGGTTCGCCCGTTCAGCCTACAGACTGGCCGCCTGATGTGGTCTTACAGATCATGGCTTGTGCCCCTTGGTATGAGGCGCGGTGTAGCTCAGGACTGCATTCTGCTGTGCTGTTTGGTCTCCTAAGCTCTCCTAAACTCCAAACCATAAACCTTGGTCTGTTTATATGTATTCATACTGTTCAAGGGGCGATGAACCCAGTTTGCAGCAGGTGAAGCTCCCCACCAATAGATGGAGTGACATCCAGGGGCTTAGTAGGAGGGGATGCCTTTATCACCGATCCTGGGGCTTAGTAGCAGGGGATGCCTTTATCACCCATCCTGTTATGGTTCCTGATGCTTTAAAAAGAGAAAGAGAGAGAGAGAGAGAGAGAGAGAGAGAGAGAGAGAGAGAGAGAGAGAGAGAGAGAGAGCAGGTTAACAGAGGACTAAATTTTCAGACACTTTGTCATGCCATTGCCACCAATTCATAGCGTAGACACCGCGCTAACTAATTGCAAAAAAAAAAACGGAAAAAAGAGAAAAACCTACAAAACCTAAGGGTCAGACCCCACTGCGGTGCAGATGGAAAAGACGTGTGGCCACGAAAAGCGGGCAAGTTGTTTTGGAAAGTTGGAAGAGTGTTTTTCCGGGACCCCACCGTGGAGTGTGTTTTGCGGCAAATCGGTATTTTTTCTTTCTGTTACGATCCTGGCCAATTTCAAAGTCCACAATCATCAGAAAGTACAATGTTGTCCAATTGCGAAAAGAAATGAATGAACTTGAGCCCAATGCCGTCCAATTGCAAAAGAAATGAAAGAACTTG